CAACTTTTTGCAGCACAGATGATCTGTTTACAAAATCAGTAAGGCATATGGGGAAGCTACTGCATGACACAGAAATGTGCCTGGGAGGTGAAGAAGAACTGCTAGTAGAAGGCAACAGGTTAACATTCAGAAGATAACAAGGGAGTATCCCAAGTGTGTAAAAATGATCTGGAGGAGGGAATAAACTCAGAAGTCACAGTGTGCACTGATGACAAAAGCAGGAAGCTGTGAACAGAAAAATCAATGCAAAGTATCTCAACCATCAACGTTTATGGCAAGATGAATGAAACAGGTAATTTTTAACATAAGATAATGCCATGGAAGACTCTAAATCACAGAGACTAATCACAGACTGATAATTAATAGAGAACAGAAGCCAGCAACAAAACTGAAGTTGGTAACAGTATTACCAAATCTCATGATTCTACTGGGAGTCTTGCACTATTTGGCATATTTCTGAAAGACCCAGCTCCTGGAGTCTTGTGAATACATGAGAATCTCAGCTTTCATTTTAAAAACATTTCTAGCCCAAGTGGCTGTGGAGAAAAGCTTAAAAATGTGAGTTGAATGTACCTTAATGGATCAGAACTAGAAAGTAAAAAAAAAACACCCCAATTTTTTTTAATCTCACAATTATTAAGCCAGTCGCATGACTTGGGAATACGTGACTCATGATTTTTGACTACCTGAGGTTGGCAATAGTGTGGTAATTATGACTTTTGAAGGATATGTAGGTATTTTATATAACAGCAGACAATATTCTGAAAGGAAGTGATGAGGATTTAAATATCCAGTTTTCAGCATGCACAAAAGTGTATACGTACATATATGTATACACACACACTTTTATGCCTATATACATATAAAGGCATAAAAAAGTGTGTGTATATACACACATGGCATTAAAAAGCTAAACAAAGACTGGGAGAACATTTCATAGGAATAAAGGCAAACACTTAAATACTGGGAGTCTGCAGAAGTCCAACGCCATGCCTTGCCAACTGGAGCAGATGACTATGCAATTGTGGTAGGCTGGATGAGGGTTATATATATCCAAAGTATGCTCATCCAAGGAGGGGCTGATGCATCTGTTGTATTTGCTTAATTAATGTTTGTAAATCACAGAGATCCTCGGATGATTAAAAACACCTTATAAAGGCCAGCTAAAAATGGTAACTTCTGAGCTGTTTCAGCACCAAAAAGGGAGCATTAGGATCTAAGAGACTGTGAGCAAAATTCACATATGTGCAGAGGGTTTAAGTGATGCGTAGGATCAATTCTGACCCTCTGCACAGAATGAATTTCACTTTTGATGGATAAAGTGGCAAGGTAAGTACAGGTGCCAGGAGTCTGATCCTCCCATGTTTCAACAGGAGTTCCTCATATGCATCAGGAGTCTACAGCCACACTGGTATAAATAACGATCGCTGTAATAGGTGCCTATTGTTAGTGGCATTACCAACCCTAAGCATTGAAAAATCATCAGTCGGGCCCCAAAAGTGGCTAAAAAATGAAGAGGTTTTTTAAAGAATAATTTGGGAGTTCTTTTTATTTGCCTTCTTGTTTTTGAGCCTTTAGTGTGCGTTCACTTGACTTTTCAAGATTTTCTCAGCAATCATGAGGGCTAGAAACTTACTTTTTTAAGATGAAAACTGAGATTCTCACATTCTCTTGATTTCAGCAGCTGAGATTTTAAGAAAAAACAATGAAACTTGTGGGATTAACAATAAAATTGCAAAAACTGGCAACACTGTCTTAGGTGTACAATAGTTTGAATTATTGGACTGGGAAAGTAGTGGGGAAACAGACATGTTTTCAAATGTCTAAACAGTGGTTATCAATATAACACCTAATACCATATTTCACGACAATAATTCTTCCATGCAAAGTTCATATGCTATGTGAACACTAAGCCAGCCTCAGAACACCCAGTGACATACTGTAGGTGAGCAGCATGACATCCATTTTACACTTGGGTAAGCTGAATCACAGAGAAGTTAAAAGATCATGTATTAAAGATATAGCCCTTCATTAAGGATTGGAAAAGCTAAGGGATCTGGAAGGGTAATCAGGAATTCCTCTTGGCGAAGCACAAAAAGCAATGGCAGATCCACACTCCTTTAAATGGTACTGCACATGGTGACCTCCTACTCCAGACTACTATACTGGCAGATGCAAGTGCATGGCTCTCCTCACCACCTGTAAGGAGGCTAGTACTGAAGGCTAATACAGAGCAGTGGTTTCACTCCCCAGCCAGCTGCTGGCACTCAACCCAGTACAACTGGAGTGGGATGAAGGCTGTTTGTGCGCTCTCCCCCACTCCTAGATGGCCAACCACAATCTGGCTTTAAGTGACTTGTTCCAGGCTACAGTAAGAGTCAGTGTGTGAAGATGCTAGAACCGAAGTGACCCATCTCCCAGTCCACTGTTCCATCCATTAGACCCCACTTCAAGATACGCCTGTGTGACGGGTTGGATCACAGACTACTGCCAAGACTACTTCTGCCCCTGCTTTCCTGCCCTGTCAGCTTAGGACTTCAGTGCCCTGCCTGGTTTGAGCCAGATTTGCTAGTCTGCTGCAAACCCAGACCCAGGTCTGAATCACGTCCCCTAACAGCTGTAGACTTACCTGAAAGCAGCTAACAGAGGTGTTCTCGTCTTTAATACTCAGATGCCCAACTCCCAATGGGGTCCAAACCCTAAATAAATCCGTTTTACCCTGTATAAAGGTTATACAGAGTAAATTCATAAATTGTTTGCCCTCTATAACACTGATAGAGAGATATGCACAACTGTTTGCCCCCCCCCCCAGGTATTAACACATATTCTGAGTTAATTAATAAGTAAAAAGTGATTTTATTAAATA